AATTATTTTTATTCCTAAATTTAATACTACGTGTATTATCGCTCTATATTACTATTAGATGGCGATTTTTTCGTGTAACCGATATTGAAGAGGTCTGCTTCAGTTCCTGAAGGACACGTACTGGTCTATGTAGGTGACGAGATGGAGAGGTTCGTCGTTAGCGCCGAGCTACTTAACCATCCGGTTTTCATCGGTTTACTAAACCGATCTGCTCAAGAGTATGGATATGAGCAAAAAGAAGTTCTACAAATCCCTTGCCATGTACTTGTCTTCGAAAGAATCATGGAATAGCTTCGTCTTGGGCTTCCGGTGCCAATTGATGTTCAAGATCTAATCGGCGGCGAGACGATTTGAAGAAGAAGGTCTTTAGAAGGAATCTTGGTAGTTAGACAAGTGTTTTTCTAGATCTGGTTGTTTTTGTTCAGATACTGATTAGTCATCATACTTCGTCGTTTTGATGTCTAAAAATTAAAGAAAAACGTTTAAAAAGATAGATGGTGGAATCGAACCCAAGTTCAATAAGATAGTCAACCCATGTTAAACCATCTGACTAAGACAATATACTCATAAAATTTAGAAAAGAGATTTTATATATATGCTTAAACAGCATGGGTTAAGTTTTAACTACAGTTAATACTTCCGTTAGCAAAGCTAACAGACGTTAGCTCAGGGGTACAATTTTACCAATTTTTAAAATATGAAGGTTTTAAAAGACAACCGAAATTAAAAGAAGTATTTTTATTCCAAATTTAATACTACATGTATTAAACGGCCAAAAAAAAATTAGATGGCGATTTTTTCGGGTTTTTTCCCCTCAATTTTAATACATGTATTAAACGGCTCGCGGGTTCGAGTCCCCAGTTTTGCAAAAAAAATTTAAAACTTTGAGAACACATATCAAAACGACGTCGTTTCGATACGCACCGTAACGGAGTTGACTAACACCTGTTAGATTGACTCCGATTTTTGCACGTTGTATCAAGTATAGGATATGAAATTCAAATTTTATTGAAGTTTAGGTTGTAAAATACCCTACAAAATTGTCCAGGTATGAAAATCCACGGCGCAGACAGTACGGGTATGAAAACGACGTCGTTTTGATACACGTCAGCGTACACATGTACGATGACTCAGCACCGTAACGGAGTTGACTAACACCCGTTAGATTGACTCTGATTTTTGCACGTTGTATCAAGTATAGGTATGAGATTTAAATTTTATTGAAGTTTAGGTTGTAAAATACCCTACGAAATTATCCAGGTATGAAAATCCACGATGGAGATAGTACGGGTATGAAAATGATTCGAGTGTTTTGTGACGTAGTTTTTAAATCCATCTTTTTGTGTTAACGTTTCTGTTCTTATCCCTAATTACATAATTAACAATTAAACATGAATTCATTGAGTTTTAATTCGAGATTATCACAATTCACAAGCATTGTCAAAAGAACAACACTGACTTCACAACTGGTTTTCCCTCGCACGAAAACTGAAGAAAATAGTAAGAAATCATTACTTCCCCGTCGCAAATTCATTGCTTCTCAATCAAATTTCTCCAATTTGCACACGATTTTGCGTCTGTCTCCGGCAAACTACTTTTCTCCTCCGATTTGGAATCTTTTAGTCAAATTGATTAAACCCTATTTGTGATTCAGAGAGAAGAAAACAAAAGTTATGGAATTAGAGATTGTGTGGTTGGTTAGAGCCGCTTGGATCACCGTTTGGATCGTCTCGATACTTCCTTTGGTGATTGCTTCGATACCCAGTTCAAAGCTTAACTCTTTTCGTGAACTCGTTTTGAGTTTCGCTGGGAGAGGCAAGATTCTTCACCCGTCTTCTCAGGTATTCGTCTAAAGTTTTCTGTGAAAATTTTAAGTTTGAATATCTGGCCGATGTGAAAAAGGTTTGAACTTTGTTCTTATAATCAGATGTTTTTCAGTTTTTTTTTTTGCTAATTTACTCTTTAATCGTGTTTTTAATCATCATTGTTGTTGTAAATCCGATTGAAAATGAGAAAGCATACTACTTTTAGCTTGAATCTCCGGTTTCAATTTCAGAACTGTTCTGTTTTTGATTGTTAAATGTTGAAAAGGCTTAAACTTTGTTTTAGTAACTCAGATGTGTAATTCTCTATGCAGAAGTTTACAATTCCTCAGAAATGCTTTGCTCACTTTTATGTAATTGGAGTGGTGTGGACGACTCTCCTTCTTGCTGCAACATGGATGTATGCTTGCAAAATGGCGCCTTTATCTTCTGAGGAGTTCCAGTTATCCGACATTGCAAGCCGTTTAGCCGGAGGTTCCCATGTTTTCTCCTTTTATAAATCTCATATGACTCCTGTTGAGCATCGGTTAAAAGTGTGGCGAGCGCTGTTTCTTCTTCTTCTGATGGAAATCCATGTCTTGAGACGGCTTATAGAGTCATTTTATGTATTCAAATATAGCCCTTCCGCTCGGATGCACATTCTCGGTTATTTCGCAGGATTGTTGTAAGTCTCTTCTTATATTATAGTTTGATAGTCTTTTTGTTTGGCTTTAATTTTTGTTTTTAGTTTCTATGTAACAGCGCCTTTGTCACTCTGCTCCAATATCGCTCCAGAGGTAGCAAGATTCGCCGGAAATCATGTGGCTGAGTTCATTGCTAATGGGAAAAGCCATACTTCAGCACCTGAATTTAATTTGTTATCATCTATAAGTCCTTTTATGAAGCTTGGATCACTCCAGTGGATTGGTGGAGCCATTTTTCTCTGGGGATGGATACATCAACGCCGCTGTCATGCCATTCTTGTAAGTTTAACAATTAGTTTTTGCTCAATGTTTCTGTTTTTGATCCTGTTAAATACAAAACGTTATTTCAGGGATCGCTCCGGGAAAATCCGAGTCAAGCGAAAGAGTACATAATTCCGTATGGAGATTGGTTTGGGATGGTTTCTTGTCCGCATTTCCTGGCGGAAATCGTAAGAAATCCTCCCTCGTAGATATCTAAACTTCTCTCTGTTTTTTTTATAGCTCTTCTCTAATGATATGATGCTCTAAAATTTAGGTTTTGTATGCGGGTTTACTGATTGCGAGTGGAGGAACAGATATAACCATCTGGTTACTCTTTGGTTTCGTGGTACGGTGCACTCTCTTATTTGCATGATCACAAATGGATTGCTTTGTTTCTAAAGGTTGCTTGGATTATGAGTTATGTTTTTTTTTGGTAGGCTGCTAATCTGACATACGCCGCTGGAGAAACGCACCGTTGGTATCTCCGGAAGTTTGAGAACTATCCGGCTAATCGCCATGCCATTTTCCCTTATGTCTACTAAATGGTTAAGAGAAAGAACACTTTTTTTCATGTTTCTGTAAATGCTGGATTCTGAAGATCAAAGATTTGTGGTGCCTTGTTGTGTTGTAATTAGCCACGCTTCTTAATTCTCATCATTATAAAACTGTTGCTTTTTTCATTTCAAGACAAAAACAAGATTGTGAATTTGGCATTTAGCCGTTTTTATATAGTATAGATTCTGTAATCATGAAAATGCTTGAATCTGTTTGCCATTGGAACAGAAATTTGACACTTTTTAAGTTTTAACTGAGCAAAACAAAAACAAAAGAAAAAGGAAATGTTTTAAGGACCAAACTGGATGGCAGTTGTGTAAATATTTCACATGTTACAGGATTTAGGGTTTAGACGTTCAGTCGATCATCATGTTTTCAAGTAAGTTGATGGAAGCTATAGAATCCGTGGACGCTGATGAGAGCGAATATACAGTGACGAGGAGGCCAAAACAGACGTGTGTGAGGCTGAATTTGATATGTTAATGGCGCCTGAATGGGATGTGGATAGCTTCGAAGGTTTAGAGTATTATTCATCTCCGGATTCGGACCTTTCCTCCGATGAGCGAGGGAGAAGCTGGATGGACCTCTTGTGGAGTATCAAGCCAGGGCTATCGCTACTCTTGACAGAAAGAAAGAAGCATCCCATTCTCTGTAGACCAGTGGCGGAGCCAGAATTATTTTACATAGGGGTCATATATTAATATAAATATATAATAATTTTTTTTTAAAATAAAATAAAATTAAAAGTAGTTTTCAAATTTTAATTTTTATAAACAGAGCGAAAGAAGAAAATTAATATTTACGTAAAAAGAAAGAGATAAAAACCCTATATAAAATAAAATTAATAGTTGAATATTATGTATTATAGCCAAAATTGAAGAGCTTGAGCTGAATTAGATTACTTAGAGCATCTCCAATGGTTCATATATTGGGTTCTTTCCTATGGTTCTCATGAAAATTTTTTTTAAAAATAAATCAAAATCATGTTATATGAAGAGAGAGAGCTCTCTTGTGAGAGCTTTTGAGATGCAAGAGAGACGATGACGTGACGTCATACCATTGGTCGATTTTTAGACAAAACAAGAAAAAAAAACGCAACAAAAAAAACACAATCACGCGTAAAAAAAAAACCCGACTCTCTCTCTCTCTTTGCCAGCGATGGCGATGGCTAGGCCTGGGCAAAATAACCGAACCAGAACCAAAACAAAAAGAACCGAACCGGAACCGAACCGAAATTTTAAAATACTCAAATGGATCCTAAATTTTAGAACTGAAAGAGCCAGAACCAGAACCGAACCGAACCGAAATATTTCAGATACTCGAAAATACCCGAAATATGAGTTTATATCAGAAAATATTAGTTATTTTTATATCGAATAGCTTAAAATACCCGAAATACCAACAAATATTTAGAAAATATATAAAAAAAATACTTAAAATATCCAAAAAATACTCAAAAATATCTGAAAATACCCAAAAATATCCAAAATACCTAAAAATATCTAGAAAAATATCCAAATGGATCCTAAACTTCAGAACCGAAAGAACCGGAACCGGAACCGGAACCGGAACCGAACCGAGATCCAAATTCAATGGATGGAGAGTAATCGATTCAGCTTGGATCGTAATTGGTAAGAACATCTATGGAGAAAATTTTGCAACAATCAACAGAATAACTAATCGTTTATTTTTTTTTTGCAAATTTATTTTCAAATATATGAAATTATTGTATGTTTAATATGTTATGAATTGTAATATTTTTCAGTTTTATGAAATAAAATAATTAAAAAATAATTTAATTTTGTCCTGAGAACCCTATAAAAAAAGTCTACCATTGGACTTTGCAAAATTAAAATTTTTTAACAAAAATTCTCATCTCATAAATTTGAAAATTTTATTCTTAAAAAAATGGTGAGAGTCCATGGAAGACTCTCACCATTGGAGATGCTCTTACTTGCAGGCGCCTGAATGGGATGTGGACAGCTTCGATGGTTTAGAGTATTATTTGCTGCTTAGTATAAGAGTTTTTGATTCCAATTGTCATTGTTAAATAGATTTTCAGGGAATTTTGATATACCTTTGACAATTTTTCGCTCTAACATAAATTTATTATCATCATCAGTCTTTCTCGTTCATAAACCGTTGGGATGGCAGTTGCGTAAATATCATAAAAGGTTTCTGGGTAGAAGGTAATTACCTAATTTAGATTTAAAATCTATTTTAAATACCATCGTAGAAAATCTTTTGGGAGAGGGATTTAGGGTTTACGCGATCAACATGGTTCTTAATCAAAGCGGAGCCGAGACGACGATAGAAGAATCCATGGAAGCATCTTCATCAATGGTTGTCAATTCGTACCCGACAAAGCGTAAGGCCGAGTTCGACCCGAAGGAGGAAGAGAGCGATGGCGAGAATGAAGAACCCAGTGATCCGAAAGTCAAAATTGAGGAGCCTAAGGCTGAAACAGATTATTACTTATAGGCAGAGCCGGACTTAAGGACATTATTATGATGCATTGCAATGGGGCCCCCATTTTAGAAGGGCCCCACATAATTTGTTTTCTTGTATATATGTATATTAGTTATTGTTTATAGATCTTAAAATGTTATGTGTGTCTAAAAAAATTATAATTATTATATACAATTGAATAATAAAAGAGAAATAGTAAGTTATTTTTTCTTTACAAACCATTAGATTTATTTCATCGAATAAGAGAAAACTTTTTTATTTTAAAAAATTCTAAAACAGTTAAGAGTTTTGCTTAAACTAATTCTTTTTTACTCTACTTTTATTATTTTATAAAAAATTTGATATTATTATTTATTTAATTCGTATGGGTCCCCCATTTCTTTGGTCCCGCTCTGCTTATAGGTCGCTGAATGGGATGTGGACAGCTTCAATGGTTTAGAGTATTATTCTTCTCCGGAGGCGATACTTTCCTCCGATGAGGAACCTTTACCCGAGGAAGGTTTAGAACACTATCGCATTTTTAAACGCCAGATAATCCAGAGCAAGGTACGTCCTAATGCTTTGAATTTTTTTGAGCTAAATTCATGAAACTTTGTGGATTAATAGATGCTGATTTCATGTACAACGTGTGTGGTTAGGGATTTTACGGGGATCCTGAGCTTAAGCCATATTATCATTACAAAGGAATATGTCCAATGAACTTGGAGTCGGAAGCGCTTACGGATAAAAACTTCCGCCAGTTCTGGGAAGAGATGGTCTATGTTTGTCTCCAAAAACTCAACCAAGACAAGGTTAGTTCGGATTCAGTCTCTTAGGTTATCTTTGGGTGTTAACAGTAGCAATGGTTAGGTTGACATGATTTACTAGCTTCTTCCAAGTAGTGGTTTGGGAATTTTCAACCCTGAAAAGTGTTCAACCAAAGCTTAGCATCATTAACATTTTTTTTTTGTGGTTCTAGGATTCGAATGTGGAGTTGGTTGAAGTTGTGAGAGGTTATTATCGCCCAGGACCGAGATCAAAGTCATATATTACATTTATGGCAAGGGAGAAGCCGGATGGACCTCTTGTGGAGTATCAAGCCAAGTGTATGGTTACTTTAGACAGAAAGAGGCATCCCATCCTCTGTAGACCGGTTCCTGCTTTTAGCCAGTTTTAGATTGCTATGTGATTCAAACGGGATTAGTTATATCTATATATCATAGTTGCTTTCGGCATACTCTGTTAGAGATATGGTGTCTCTTAAGTACAGTATTTGGCCAGTTAGTCTCTTGTTTCGCAGTAAGATGAGAAAAAGACCCATCTCAATAAATGTCTTGGCCCAGCATTCATTCACATGGAGGACAGACTGCATACACGTCTTTTACTAGTAGACATTTTATTCTCTCTGTTCTGTTTTGACTGGAAATGGGACTCAGAGGACTAGGGCATTTCATGTCAAGTCAGATTATTGGTATTTTTTTTAATGATCTAATCTCCTGGATGTAACACTTTAGGATAGTACCAAATACATTTCTTCGCGTTTGTTTGGTTCCCAGGACTTGACCAATATCGAAGGTATGTTTCGGATCTAGATCTGAACACATCAGCAAAGTTGAGGGAAAGAAGGTTGTTTCGTTTCCTCTTGTTCAAGCTTTCAGCCTTCTAGATTTGGTTGTTGCTTCGTTTCCTTGTGTGCCATCCAGTGGCAATTCTTTCGCTTCATTGCGATTTTTTACTGCTGTGTGCAGTTAATGGTATCAAACCTATCAGGTCGCCTAGGAGCTTTGGTTCAATTCTCCACGCCCCTCCCGTCCTTTTATTATTCCATGGGAAGGTATTGTCTCTCTAATATGTTGTAATATCCTTGAACTAATCGCATTCATTTGAACCTGCCCTATATTATACATCAGTTCCCTCTGTTTGAGATGTGATGATTTCGAATTTTCGATTAAGCTAAGCTTCTCTTACCTTAATATGAGGTTGTTATTTGAAAACTTCTGCCAAGTTCAATTCGTATGACTCTTTTTGATCTCGAATACACAGTTTTACAGATAAGACAGGATAGTCTTAACAAAAAAAACAAATTTGGGTATTATTCGACACCAGATTTCTTCATTGAGAAGTGGTGGGGTTTCGCAACTCCACACCCTCTCAGAAGCTGGGGATTTCCTCATAGCTCCCAGGTCTTGATAAGTCGGTGTTTTGTAGCCGAGTCTCTGGATGCAGCATTTTCGAGCTGTAGAACACCTAGTGTGCTCTCTGATTTCCAAGGCCTCGTCTCACGTTTTAGCTAGCACCACAACTTTAGTTGCTCAAGTGTTGTGCAAGCTTCTATATGTTTCTTTCATGTTTCCCGCTTGGCATTTGTAGCAGAGGCTTCTTGAGCCATTGTATTTGTTGAATTATTTTCTCCATTTATAGGTATAAAATTTTAAAATTTTATCTAGTTTGACTAGGAAAAAAAAAGAAGTTATTCTACAAAATCCAACTAAAATTCGAGTTACTTTTTTAAAAAAAAAAAAGAAAAGGAAATTAGGATGGCGTTTCCAGGGCAGAAGGTAATTACAGTATTTAAAATCTAATTTAAATACCATCCTTCGTTCTAAAGAATCTCAAGATTTTGGGATATCACTTTTCGTAATTGGCTCGGAACAGAGAGGGATTTAGGGTTTGCTCGATCGTCATGCTTCTCAATCAATGCGCAGAAGAGACGACGATAGAAGATTCCATGGAAGCATCTTCTTCAGTGGTTGTCAGTTCGTGCCTGACAAAGCGTAAGGCTGAGTTCGACCCGGAAGAGGAGGAGGAGGAAGAGAGCGATGGTGAGATTGAAGAAGGGAAAGCCAAAGTTGAGGAGCGTAAGGCTGGAGGAATAGATTACTTAAAGGTGCCTGAATGGGATGTGGACAGCTTCGATGGTTTAGAGTATTATTCCTCTCCGGAGGTATTATTTTCCTCCGAGGATGAACCTTTCTCCGAGGAATCTATACAACACTATCGCCTCTTTAAACGCCAGATGATCGAGAGCAAGGTACGTCCTAGTGCTTTGAATATTTTTTTTTGAGCTAAATTCATGAAACTTTGTGGTTTAATAGATGCTGATTTCCTGTACAACGTCTGTGTGTGTGTGGTTAGGGATTTTACGGGGATCCAGCGCTTAGGCCCTTTGATCATTACAGAGGGATAAAACCAATGGGCTTGGAGTGGGAAGCGCTTACGGATAAAGACTTTCGCGCGTACTGGGAAGAGATGGTCTATGTTTGTCTCCAAAAACTCAACAAGGACAAGGTTAGTTCGGATTCAGTCTCTTAGGTTATCTTTGGGTGTTAACAGTAGCAATGGTTAGGTTAGGTTGACAGGATTTACAAGTAGTGTTCTGGCTAGGGTTTGGGAATTTTCAACCCTGAAAAGTGTTCAGCTTGGCATTAACATTTTTTTTTGTGGTTCTAGGATTCGAATGTGGAGTTGGTTGAAGTTGTGAGAGGTTATTATCGCGCAGGACCGAGATCAAAGTCATACATTACATTTATGGCTAGGGAGAAGCCAGATGGACCTCTTGTTGAGTATCAAGCCAAGTGTATGGTTACTTTAGACAGAAAGAGGCATCCCATCCTATGTAGACCGGCTCCTACACCAAAGCCTTAAACCAAACTTGTTTAAGGGATTGCTCTTAGCCAATTTCTGATCTGCTCTGTTTAGGCTCAAACATGTTTAGAGAAACGAGATTCTTTTTGCCTTATGCAATATTATACGGTGCTTGTCATGTATATATAGATGTATGACGATATGAGAAAAAGAAAAATAGAATGACCCATCACAACAAAATGTCTTGGCCAAGCATTGAGGTCATGCATGATTTCAGAATAACGAATTGGTTATCGGTATGGCTCGCTTACTCGCTTACTTGTTTCATTCTGTTTCTTTTTGTGACCTAGGATTGGGGGACCTATAAGGATAGACTTGGCGAAGGGCACTATTATATAAAGTCAGATTATAGAGTTTCTAATGCTCTAGTGGATTCAGCATTTCAACTTATGTTTTTAATAATTTCCCTCTGTTTTGTTTGGTTATCATGTGTCCAAAATTTTACTAATATTAGTAAGAGCATTTTTCGTTTCTATTAAAACTAGGAATCAGACTTCCCGCGATGTCGCAAGGGAAATGATTTCAAAAATCTTTTAAAAAAAATATATCAAACGAAAAATCATAATGAATTGAGCTAATTAAAAAAAAAAAAAATTAACAATAAATCAAGATATATTTTACGAAAAATTATGATAAAGAGACTAACCCTCAGAAACAGTTACTAAGATTTATATTATTAATAGAAAATATTATGGTGAAAAGATGTGATCATAAACAAAAAATATTAAACAAAGAATTATAATGAGTAGATGTACTTTTTAATAATTTAAATAATTAAAAATATAACTATATAATATATTCAACAAAACATTATGATAAAAATATGTAATATTTTAAATTAAGTAATGTTAAAGAGAGACAATCCTCGGAAAAAATTAACTAATAACAAAAATTGATAGTTATTTAGGAAAAAAATAAATAATAGTATAGATAACAAAATATATACCTATAAATACTAGATAGCAAAAATGAATATAATGAAGAGACGTAACTATAAATAAATAGATGCAATTGTAAAGACATAACTGTAAAAATTATAGTAAGCGGTATAAAACTCATCATTTTTCAATTGTCAATTGTAGTAGTTTCTGTTTGGCTTTAAATACTGATCAGTTGTTGTTTATATGTCTTCCAGCACATAGAGGCGTTAAAGACAGTGGGGAATAAGGCAATGCTTGCCCAGATGATCACTTGGGCTTTTGACCATTTACATGACTACGAAGAACCTGCAAATGCTCTGGTAGCCACAAGCGACGTCGATTGCGTTTGTGGTGTCGACATGCTGAGAGCCAAAGGTTTTTATGTCATCCTAGGGCATAACAATGAAATCTTTGTGGAGCTTGTAAGCTCAACACCGTCTACTGTTTTTTGGAGTAACCTGTTTCAAGGAAAATCCAATCGGTAACCTTTTTTTATCCTAAGTTTGCATCATCATTTAGTTTGTTATCATGTTTCTTATCTGAACTAGTTTATGTTTGCTTATTGTAGGAGGATAAAGTAGAAGAAAAAAAATTGGGTGATTTGCAAAAGTAGCCAATTTTGAAAAAGTTATTAAATTTATAACACCATAATCTTGGATATTAAGTGAGTAGCACATGTGGTGTATGAAAAGACAATAAAGTCCTTTCAGTCTCACGAAGAAAATGAAGGCGTGAAGAGAGAGAGAAAAGAGGTGCGTGAAGAGAGAGAGGGAAGAAGAGAGGGGGAGAGAGAGAAAGAAGAGAGGGGGAGAGAGGAAGAAGAGAGGGACGTGGAGAGAGAGGGAAGGAGAGAAGAACAGAGGGAGAGAGATAAGAGAGGGACGTGGAGAGAGAAGGGAGAGAGAGATTGAGAGGGACTAAATCTGTCTTTATTACATAAATTATAAAGAATATCACCTTTTTTTTTTTCTAGTGCTACTTTCTTAATTTATAAATTTTTGTTGGTTATAGAGTCAAATTATCCAAAAAAATTTCAGGCCATGAGGAATGACTTTGATGCACTCTAATTGCTGTAGACGTACTTTTTCAAATCTTTAAATAATTATAAATATATTCAACAAAACATTATGATAAAAATAGTCAATATTTTAAAGTAAGTTATGTTAAAGAGAGACAATCCTCGGAAAAAATTAACTAATAACCAAAATTGATAGTTATTTAGGAAAAAATAAATAATTATATAGATAAAAATGTATATACCTATAAATACTAGATAGCAAAATGAATATAATGAAGAAACATAACTATAAATGAATAGATGCAATTATAAAAACATGATGTTGAGAGGATAGTCATTTTAAAGAAAAGTTCAGTTGTAAAACGTAAAATGAAATAAATTATTGGAGATGGTATAACTTCTTAAACTTTTTCTCTTTACTGTCCTATAATTTCAAGTAAATAATCTGTATTTATCATCATCAATTGTTAGGGAGAGATAAGCTTTACATGTAAAATTTGTTACATTTGGTTGTTAGTTCAATATATGTATAAAGAATGTAATTTCATATAAGTCCAAACCGTTATGACTCCTTAAAGGTTCTAACCGGGGATATAGTGCTCTGTCTCATAAATCTCATTCTCATCTCTCACTTTTTTTTTTTTTTTTTAATTCATCTTCTTTTGATTTTTTTCTAACAATTTTGATATGTTTTTGGCTCTAAATTTAAAATTTGAGAAATTGTTAAAAATGCCCCTTTTTCAATACCCTTTTTCAAAAATGTCTCTTTTGAGAGTCCATTTTTAAGTTTGCTCTCTTTTAATTTTTAATGACCATTTTACCCTTATTTGAAACAAAATTAGGTCCACAAAATACAAAATATTTTTTGGCGGGAAAAGTGATCCCGTAATTTTCCCGCCAAAACACTTGTAAAAACCTTTAAAATACCTTGTAAAATTTTCCCGTAAAAATTTTTCCCGCCAAAAAATTTTCCCGCCAAAAATTTTTTTTTGCGGGAAAAGTGATTCCGCAATTTTTTTGCCGAAATTTTTTTGGCGGGAAAATTTTACAAGGTATTTTAAAGATTTTACGGAGTATTTACAAGTGTTTTGTAAGGTTTTACAATGTATTTTAAAAGGTTTTACAAGGTACTAATAAGGTTTTATAAGGTATTTATAACTTGTCAAACCCTATAAAAAACTTGTTAAACCTTATAACTTGTAAAACCTTATAACATAGCTTGTAAAATCATATAATATCTCATAAATACTTCATAAATACGTTGTAAAACCTTTTAAAATACATTGTAAAACCTTATAAATACCTTGTAAAAACCCTTTAAAATACCTTGTAAATTTTTCCCGCCAAAAATTTAACGCCAAAAAATTTGCGGAATCACTTTTCCCGCAAAAAAAAATTTTTGGCGGGAAAATTTTTTGGCGGGAAAAAATTTTACGGGAAAATTTTACAAGGTATTTTAAAGGTTTTACAAATTTTTACAAGTGTTTTGGCGGGAAAAATTGGGGGATCACTTTTCCCGCCAAAAAATATTTTGTATTTTGTTGACCTAATTTTGTTATATTTCCTTATATATTTATGATATATTTTATTAAAAGAAGGGTAATTTAGTCATTTTGTACATAAAAGGGATATTTTTAAAAATGGACATCCAAAGGAGGCATTTTTGAAAAAGGGTATTGAAAAAGGGCATTTTTGTGAGTCTCCCTTAAAATTTTGGGAAACAAAATCAAAGAATTCTCATCAATTTAGGTATCATTCATGACTCATTTTTCTAAAATATCTACGAATGTTTCTGATTTTTCAAAAAGTTTACAAATCTCATAGCATGTTTCTAATTTCTTCCACTAATATTCGTTTCATGTTTATATGAAGTTATTTAGAGCTGACAGCCAAATTTCTAGACATTTTACAACTTTATAGTTTATCGTTGATCCTATTAATCAACACGAAAATATATTATATAAAATTATTAATAACTATATTGACCAAACTAATTTTTAGACACACGTTTATGTGCATTTTTCAATAAAGGTAAACTCATAATCTATCATCGTCTATCGTTGTAATTTTTTCTATAGAGACTTATCATATCAAAGTCAAAAAGATAAAGTTTTCATTCAGAAATATGAATATACCGATCAAGCACATTAATTAAGATATTGGACTTCATAAATATGTAATATATCTTTTAATTCCTAATCAATACATTTTGAGTTTGATAAAGTGACTTAAGAAAATCGTTAGATTAGGAGTTATTAGGACTAGATAACGGGATAGACTGAAATATTTTATGATATCGGGATAGACTAAAATAATTTATGATAAGTTGGAGACAGCATCTTTGGAAATCTCTATGGAGAACTTTCATGGATTGCAAGATGTTAGGATGTAAGTAAATTTTTTTTTTTTTTTTTAAGAGTTGATAACTAATATTATTAGAAATTTTTCATTTTAATTATTTTGTAGAGTTGTGTAATGAGGATGCTCTTATTGTCCGACTCATAGACAGTCTTCTTAAGTCTTTGAAAAATAATGGATTAACACAAAAATCTCTCTTTAAGAATCGGATGGCAGTTGTGTAAATATATCACACGTTTCTTGGACAGATTTGTTAGTGTCATTTGAATTAGTCTTGATGTTAGGAGTCAAGGATCAATTAAGTCCGATCCGAGTCTATAGGAGAACGTGTGAGTCGAAGTAGTGATAGAGTTGTTTCCTGTTTTCTAGCTGATTCAGTACTACTTTGTAACTAGGAAGCACGGAAGCTTCGTCGGACGTCCGCTTCCCGCTTCGGAATCTTAGTCGGAATCGGAAGCTCTCGGAAGCTTTCGGAATCTCGCTTTTATAACGCTTCTAAAAAATTCATTTTGGAAGCTCTTTGGAAGCTTACGATTCTATTTTGGAAGCTTGCGATTCCATTTAAAAAATTTGATGTCACAAAATAAATAAGAAATATGAAATTATTTTTGATAGTTTTTTTTTACAAAAAAAGAAAAACCACAACTAATTTTGCATACTAATTTTGTATTTTATTTTTTAAAATATCATAGTTAGAAAAATGATAGCAGCATGGATCATTTATTAGGGAGATATTGAAATAATTAATTGAATTAAATTAATTTTGAGAAATTTGAGTTTGATGATGTTTTTATTGGTAAAAAAAATTTAAAACAATTTTATTTGATGGAATTAGTAAAATGAGAATGAAGAATGATCTTAAATTTTTGACTTTGAACTATTTGACTTTTCTCTATTGTAAACGTACACTATTTGATTTTTAAATATAGAGAGATATTTAGAATTTATGTATTAGGTTTGTATGTTAATTATAATTTTTTATATCATATAATGTTTAATGTTTATTATATATGTATATATATATATATATATATTAATTTTTATATACGCTTCCAACACGTACACACTTTCTATAATTTCTATGAAAATCGCTTCCACGTTTCCAAACGCTTCGCTTCCGCGTACCCGCTTCTGATTCCATGCAACCTAGCTTTGTAAGGCTTTATATAGCCATAGTTTCTTATTCAATGAATTATCCCTTTCAATCTTCACTCTCTGTTTTCCACAAGATGTAATAATAATATATTTAAACTTTCTCAATTGGCTTAGTTTACTTGATCATTATATTATGCATCATGGTACCATGCACAGCCAAGACGAAAGATAGAAGGAGATTTGAGAAAATTGGAGGCGTCGTTAGAATCCATGGAAGAAAACGATGGTGAGATTGAAGAAGGCAGAGATGGCAAAGCCAAAATTGACGAGCGTGAAGCCCGAGTGGGATGTGTACAGCTTCGATGAGCAGTTTTCATCAGGCGAGGAGGAGGCTTTAGAAACTTATAGCATCGTTAAACGCCAGCTGATCGAGAGCAAGGTACAATCTTTTTGGTTTTGAATGTGAGCTAAAATTCTATGAGATTGAGATGGTGACTTCTCTAGTACAACGTGTGTGGTTAAGGATTTTACGTGGAGCCATGGAGAAGGCTAAGGTGCTGTTCGTTTCTCCATTGAGATGGATCATCCAGATGGAGATGAAAAATGATGCTCTTTTTTGACCATTTAACAGATCATTGAGATGAATCAGTTGAATGAACTTTACTAAACTCATTTTGAAAATTTTGAAAATTTTGACCGAGTCTGATTGGTGCAGTCAGCCGGAAATGTCAAAAATACCCCTAATGAAACTCAACAATTACACATCGATTTTCTTCTCTTCTCTCGGCGACGACAAGCTCTGTTCTCTCTCACACGTCATTTTGATCTCTCTCGGCGGACGAAGCTCTCTCTCGCTTCGATTTCTCTCTCGACTCCTTCTCCTGGTTAGTTCTCTCTCACAGATTCGTCGTGTCATAGTCTCGTCGATTTTGTTCTCTCAGTCTTGATGCAACTTCATCTCTTTGTTCTTCGCTTTTGTTATTGTTGATTCTGCATATGCTTCCTTTGATTTCACCTTGTGGGTTTGTCCAAATTTCACTTGTTTTGTTCTTATTGTTGATGCCAACCAAGTGTTTGATAAAATGCCTCACAGAATCAGTGGTTGGTTTGTTTTTGGTAGAGCTTGTAATTAGTTGTGTCCTGTTCATTTTTGGATATGTATGCTGCTTGGTGTTTATGTATGGAGCCACAATAGACTATTCTTAATTCTGCTAAGTGTGTGTTCTCTAATGTTTATGAACGTTAATTCAAGAAATACAAGCTAATCTGGAGCATTAGAGTGTTATAGAACTCAAATGGTTGATACTGGATTTTGGATTACTTGTTGATTATGTGTCTGCGTCGGTTATGAAAGCTTTGGTTGCTTTAGTTTAATTTGCTTCTTGATAAAATATAGTTTAGTCGTTGCTTTTTCTGTACCTTTTTCTTTTCTTGTTATGTCACAAGAGAATATATGATCTCTTGAAGCTTAAAACCCGATAAAACCTAAGCTCAATTTGTATGAGAATGGAATCTTAAATTTGTGTTTCTGGTTTGGTTAGATAATGGAATCTTAGCATTGTTTAAGCTTATGGTTGGATTGTTCTAAAGCCTTTACAGATTCTTAAACTCTTTTGTCATTTATTCACTTTATTGGAGACAGTCTATAAAATGTGTATTGTTGTTTGTCATTGGTAGATTGTTCTAAAAACATGAACAATAACTTCAGGTTTATATTTCTTCTTTTGTTCTGGTTTTGTGGTGTAGGCCTTAGATGTGTTTATCTTATATCTTTCCCTTTGTGTTTGTTATCTTATAGATCTATTGCTAGTTTAACTTTTCTCCTCATTTCCCACTGTTTGCTAGTTTAAATTTGCTTTAAAGACGATGCAACAAGGTCAGGAGAAGAAGGTTGGTTTCTTATTGTTTTCTTTGATCCCTTTTTTTCTTATTGTTACATAATTTTATCCGAGATTCACAGCAAGAAGATAGTGATTTTAAACATTGGGAAATGGTGGAATCATATGAGCAGCATGGTGATGAAAATGATGGGCATGTTCCATATGTACCTTCTGGTGACAGAATTATGGAGGCTATGCGGGATTCTGTTAAATCTCTTCTGGTTCAATAAGATTGGTACTTTAGCTGAGTTTTGGTAGGGATTTTCTGTGAGAATTTCGGTGTTGAATTGGTGTCAACTTTAAGAATCGTATGAAGTCTGTTGCAGATGTTGCAGGTTGATCTTAAGGCTGAGGCAGAGAAGACTGATGGTGGTGTTGGAACTGGTAACCAGAATAAGGTATGTCATTATTCGTATAATCTCTACTTGTTCTTCAATAGTAATTGGTTCTCTGTTCAATCAAATCTTTGTTTGTACTGATAGGTTTAGTAAATGCACCAAAAGTAGTGGTAATGAATTTATCTTTGGTTATGACAAAAAAGTTTAGCTTCTGGGATCTTGCTTAGCCTCTTGAACTTTAAGGCTATTGAGATTGCTTTGTTTTGTCATGATGATGATTGTGTGACGATTGCTTTGTTTTTGTTTCAGAATTTGAAGACTTTGACAAAGGAGATGCTCTATATGAGGCTTGGGTTGTATTGATTTTTGAAGTTTATGTTTGGTAATGATGTTGGCTCTTCGTTAATTGTCATAACATATGTTTTGGTTCTTATAAAAAAATCAATTTCATGAAAATGGAAATTTATAAAGGTCAAATATAATAATTTAAAATTTGTTTGGTTGTAAAATATATTTGATCAATAATTAAAATTAATATAGTTAAGATTAAAAATTAAAATATAATTAGATGAAAACATGAGCATTTTAGTCATTTTTCTAATCAAAAACATCTAGATGAGAATGGTTCTCAACCAAACAAACAAAGTTTTAACCAAAAACAGTTAGATGAATCATCCAGATGACTACCAAAAATGAAAACGAACATCATTCAGATGGATTAGCTAAATAGATCATTTGGATGGAGCATTTAGATGCATATTCCAAATGAGCAAACGAACAACCCCTTAACTTATCTATTCAAAGGTATCAAAGTTTGGAACAGAATGCGCTTTGGGGCAAAACTTTTCGTGAGTACCATGGGAAGAGATGGTGTATGTACGTCTCCAAAAACACAAGCAAGATAATAAGGCTAGTTTAATTCTCTCTGTTTTTTTTTTTTTTTTACGTGGGTTTGTTTAATCATTCATTCATATATATGTTTCTAACAATTCAGAGAAAATAAAGTAGTTGTTATTAACATAAACACAACAAACCGTCTTGTCTATTGTTGTTGGATTCGTTCCTCAACGCTCTGCCAATTGAGTTGAGAGAATTTATCTTTTGCAATATCACCGGATTAGTTAATAGTTAGCTAATCTTTATTTAATAAATCAAATTTAACTATGAAAAATACCTAACCAGTTATTTGATAATCCTTAGTTAAATTTGATTCATTAACTCTAAAATATTCAATGAATTTTACGGAAATAAATTTTTAAACTCAGTTGGCAGTGTAAATATCTTTTATTTCCAATTTTAATATAGATCATCTTTCCTAAAACTATCTCTAATGTATATCTCTATTCTTATCTCTAAAATAAAATAGAGGAACTCTATAATAGAGATAGTTTTTACTTTAATATATTCTTCTATATTTTCTTGTAAAAATAATATTTCGAATAGATTCTATTTTTATTTTAGTATTAATACATTATATATATATAACTGCAAATGGACCCATTTACTTTAATTTTTACAAAATTTTCATAATATATATAATTTCTATGTTTATAAGACTTTATATAATTTCTTTTTTGAAAATAGTAGTCTCAAATTTTAGAATAGATATTTATACCAAAACCTCTAAAATCAACCCAAAATCTTATTTTATTTATTTTAATCATAACTAAATAAAAAGATAAAAGTTAAATGATTATTTTTCAAATAAAAAAGTTTATCTATTATAAAGGACGAAATAGAGTTCCTCTATATATAGAGCAAAAAATAGAAATCTTTATTTTAGACCATCTCTAATGTCCACCTCTATTTTTTCCTCTATTTTAGATACAACTCTATTTTAGAGTCCAGTTTGCTCCAATGTATACTTCTAAAATAGAGAAAAAATAGAGTAATCCAATATACATCTCTATTTTTTCTTCTATTATAGAAATAACTCAATTTTAGAGACATACATTGGAGCAAAATCAATTCTAACTTATAGTTGCTTCTAAACTAGAGGAAAAAATAGAGGTATACATTGGAGATGCTCATAGAAGTGAAAATAGAGTGTGTGTTAGAGTAGATTTTACTTTAAAATAGAGTTTAGAGGCAAAAATAGAGGTGGTTAGAGCATCTCCAATTCACCTTTATTTTTATCTCCACTAAATTTTATTTTAGAATAAAATTTACTCGAACACACCTCTATTTTCATATCTAAAATAAATATTGCTATTTTTACTCTATATATAGAAAAACTTGATTTCATCCTCTATGGTAGAGTTGAACTTTTTTATTTGCAAAATGGTCTTTTAACTTTTAACATTTTTTTATTTATGATTAAAATAAATAAAATTATGGGTGATTTAGGTGAATAACCCAAAAAAAAAAGAAAAATTAGTTTTTTAGAAAGAAGGTAGAGAGAGATAGGAAGAGAAAGAGAGTGAATAGGGGGGTTAGAGGTTAGATATTTAGTTTTGTTTTTTTTTAGGTTATCTAGTGCAATTTCTCTAAAATTAACATCATTTGGGGAAAAATACATTAATGACGATAGTTAAACAAAATCTATTATGTTTATTATTTTTATATGATGAAATATATTTTTTCATAATAAATGTTTAATTGAAAGAATATCATAATTTTATGAAAGTTATGTAAAAGTTAAAGTGAGTGGATAATTTGCAACTTTATAAATAAAGGTATTATTAATACTTAGATAAAAATAGAATTCACTTAGTGTTATAAACTATATGGATGGACTCCATAACCGGCCCATGGCCCATTAGGGTTTTACCTTATTCTCTGTATCCTGCTATTATCCTTGTATATATATCTCCTATTCTATTAATGAAAGACACAGTTCACAACACGTTATCAGCACATAAGCTCGAAAAAAAAAAAAAAAAAAAAAAAAAAAAAAAACCTAACCCTAAACTTGACGAGCCCTAGCCGCCGAGCAAACAAAAGCGTTCGCCGTTTTCGTCCGTTTCCGATCTCATCTTTCACGTCGAGGTAAGTAACCTCAAGTTTAATATATAAATTGATCCACTCATACTTTCTAAACAGATCGTATCCTAATTATTATAATGATCGTTATTGCATGATTGTTTGTTTGGTTCATGTTTTGTTTATTTAATCGTTGCATAAGATCGTTTGAATATTATTATGTTCATAGTCTCATATAATATCTAAGTCTACGTTTGATTCATTTAGTCAATATTGTCATGCTTAATTAATTAAGATACAAAACTGATCCATGTGCTTTCGATCGTTGTTTATCATTGCATTAGATCTGTTCATATAATATATTATTTTATTATTAAAAGCACCTAAGTCTATGTTATTGATCTTCCTAGTTATTATAGTCATGTTGTATTAATTAATTCTCATAAGAAAACAATATTACTTTACACGTTTGATATGTCGGAGTCGTAGATTGATTGATACTCTACGTTTAACATATTTCAATTATTATTTAATTCATCACGTTATTGCTATAAATTTGATTCATAATTGAATTATGCTTAACTGTTCTAAGACCGAATATTACATATAGTATTTCTTTTAATTATATTTGAGTATTGATCATTGCTAATTTGTCATTAAGAGTAGTAAGTCAATCGCTATTACTTACGTATTAAAATTGTTTATAATAATCTGTGAAAGAGTAATTATAGTCACACGCTACGATTGAGTTATAAATTGATTGATAATCATAAATTTAGCATATTAAAGTTATTATTCATCATATACGCGGTTAAACCGGTTTGCTTGATTGTTCTCTCATACCATAAAACCTCCATAAATATAAACCCTAATCGCGATTTTAATCGTGAAAACCAAACCGCTATTTCCGTTTTTAATTCTAAACCGAAACCTTAACCAGAACATAACCGGTTTGATTAACCGGTTTAATTCTAATCGCGATTTTAAAATGCGATACCCTAACTGCAAGTTGCGGTTTGATTATAGACCTAAAACCGGACTTATGTTTGGTATAATCCAAAAGAAAACCGAAACCCTAAATCCTCGATTAAATCGGTTTTAATAAACCCTAAGTCACGGTTTAAGATCAAGCTTCCTATAAATGGAAAGTTTCCAGAAATAGAAAGTTCCATATAAAGAAAGTTTACAGAAATAGAAAGTTTCGTAAAATAGCAAGTTTCCCAAAATAAAAGGTTTCCTAAAATAGCAAGTTTCCCAAAATGGAAAGTTACCAAAATAAGAAACCCCTTCATAAGGAAATATTCCAAAACCCTAAAGTACATAATTGTTTAGGATTTCTTTCTAGATGAGAAATAGAAATTTTCCATAAAAGAAAAGTTCCATATAAGGAAAGTTTCCATAAATAGAAAGTTCCATACATAAAACCGAAATCCTAGCAAAAACCCTAGTACTATAAATCGCGGATGCTAAAACCCTAAAACTTAACCGCGAAATCCTAATATCCTAATCTAGTATGATCCGATTGTTTGGTTGTTGCATACTAGATCAATCTTCTAGGGTTGATTTCATCCATATAATTGCCATGATACTTATCCATATATATATATAACATGATTGTTTAGAAAACACTTGCTGAAGACAAGCATGGCTCGGTCTCAAATACCGCATGACTTGGTCTAACCGATTACATGAGTTCTCATTTAACTCTATATATTATAGATATCAGAAATCAACTATTATGAATACACGGCACTCAATGCCTCTGGTGACAATTATTTAAAATGGGCTTTGGACACTAAGATTGTCCTAAAGGAAAAAGGGCTTGGTGAATCTATTGTGGAAGGAAACAATGCCACCAGAAGAGAAAGATATAAGGCGATTACTAACATACGCCATCACCTCAATGAGAGTCTCAAAATCAGTACCTCACTATTAAGAATCCTCTGGACCTCAGGACAGAGTTGAAAAAAAAAATACGGTGCTATTACCCAAAAGCCCGATTCGATCGAAAGAATCTCATATTCCAAGAATTCAAATCCATGAATGAGTATAACTCAGCACTATTTAAAATAGTGTCAATACTGAGATTCCGTGGTGAGGAAATTACTGAGAATGACTTGCTAAAGAAAGCATTCTCGACCTTTCACACAAACAATATATTGCCTCAGCAACAATATCGTGAAAAAAAAAAAAAAAGGTTTTTACCACATATACAAGTCTAAACTCTTGTTTTGCTACTTGCTGAGCAAAACAATGAGTTATGAATAGTGAAATGAGACCTCCTGGTCCTACCCCATTATCAGAAGCCCATTGGGCTGAAGAGCCTAAAGAGACTAAAGAGCCTAACCACGTCCAAAGAGATAAGTATCATGGCCACAGTCATGGTAAATGGAATGGACGTGGTAGAAGTGGAAATTATAATTTATATGATCAAGGAAACCATTCATATGGTTAAGGCCACCGACCCGACTTTGGTCGTAATCGAGGTAGGCCACGATATACCCAAACCACAACACTCAAATAAACTTGTTTGCCACTGATGAGGAATGGGGAAACCATTGGACTAAGATGTGCATGACACCTAAGCATCTCGTTGATCTCTATCAAGAGAGTTTGAAAAGAATCAAGAAGCTCATTTAGTTCATCACGATGGTGAAGAAGATTTCGACCATGAGATAGATGATTATGAGAATTCAATAAACGAAATATCTAAAGACATGGTTCATTAGCCAAATTGCGGGTATAGCTAAATTTAGTGAAGGCTAAGGGTAGGCCCATGGCAGGCCCATATTCCCAAGGGCACGCATCCTCAGATGCTTCATATTCACCCAGCTCAAAGGGGCTTGTTGAGTTTCAAAAAAATGTGTTTGAATGGTTTCCACATTGAAACTAAGGGTGAAGGGAACAAAGGATTCCCATATATTACTAAGAGCACCCAAGACCATGAGAAGGTCTTAGAGACTATACCCGCGTCATATATCTTTACTATGCCAAAGTCAATATGATAGAGGCTAATACAGTAAACAAAAGGGTTTACTGAGAAATTCACTAATGGCATGACCGGCTTGGCCAGCCTGGTTCTAACATGATGCGTAAAGCTGATATTAAAATCAAAAGGGCACACTCCTTAAGGACCTCACGTGTGCAGCATGTACACAAGGGAAACCCTTACTAAGGTCATCACCAGTCAAAGCAACTAGAAACTTGGTGTTTGCTAGATTGCTGGCCCAGACCATAAGTCTGTGAGCCCACATACTTAAGACTATATGTCTAGATAATGCTGGTAAATTATGTCCCAAGCGTTTTATGGCTACAGTATGTCCATGAGGGGGAGAGTAGTATACCCCGTGGCACATGTCCATACTTGAACTGACAGTAGCTGCTTGGGGACACACAATATTACATGCAACAAGAGCTTATACGTATCAGGCCATTCTAGTGAGCATAAATATTCCCCATCCCAATTGCTAACGGGTCATGAGCCAGACGTTTCCCATCTTAAGACATTTGGGTGTTCAGTCTATGTACCCATTGCACCACCACAGAGAGCAAATGATGGGACCTCAAAAGGGGATGGGAATATACGTTAACAATGATTCTCCCACCATCATTAAGTATCTCGAGCCAAAGGCCAGATTCAAGGATTGTCATCTCAATGAATCCATTTTCCCAACACTGGGTGGAGAGACTAACAAGCTGGTCAAAGAACTTACATGGAATCATACATCCTTCACATGGCAAGATCTTCGGACTCCATCAGAGATCCAAAAGACTATATATCTGCAAAAGCTAGATAAAACAGTTGCCAAGATTCCTATAATGACCCAAAGAGAGTAACAAAATCGTACATACCAGCTTGTAATGCACCAGTACGTATTGATGTTCACAAGGAACACAATCAAGTTGCTACAGAGGCTACAACACGTAAGAAATGTGGTAGACCCAAAAGGTTCCAAAGACAAGAACCCTCGGAAATCAAAGAAAGGTGCAAGGGAAACCGAGAAGGTTCAAGAAACCATAGACATGGCCGGCTAATAGACATAACCCTAAGGTACCAATCAATGAGGTTTGGGACGCCAAACCTCAAGGTCCTGAAGGTGTAAAGAGATCTCTATAAACTATATCATGTCTAGAATACAATGGAACCGAAAAGATGTCGACATCAATGATAAAATATTTGCGCACAAGGTAGCAACTGAAATGAATGAGGATCAGGAGCCCACGTCTATACTAGAGTGCACTCAAAGACCTGATTGATTAAAATGGTACAAGACCATAAAACGTGGAGCTAAGAATCATTAAGAAGAAGAATGTGTTTGGTCCAATACAAAGGACACCATTCAATGTAAAGCCAGTGGGACAAATGAGTCTTTGTGATTGTGTGAAATAAACATAGTGAAAGCGTGATATATCAGACACGGCTTGTCGCACAAGGATTCATACAAAGACCAGAAATAGAGGAGATATACTCCCCTGTGGTGGATGCAAAGACATTTAAATTTTTGCTAAGTCTGGCTATATAAAAGAGAAAGATTTGCGGCTAATGGATGTAATGCCTGCATATTTATATAAGTCCACTGGATAATATATGAGATTACCAGAGGGTAGTGAGCTCAAAGATAAGAAAAATTCTCGAGAACATCACTGCATAAGGCTGGACAAATCCTTATATGGACTGAAACAAAGCGGACGTATGTGGTATAACCGATTAAGTGAATATCTCATCAGAGAAGGCTATAAAAACGATCCGATCAGTCCATGTATTTTTATCAAGAAGTTTGCAAACAAAGGATATGTAATCATAGCAGTGTATATGAATGATTTAAACCTCTGGGTAATCGCCCAAACAGTTGAGTATATCTAAAGAAAGAATCTCAAATGAAAGACCTAGGCAAATAATTAAGTTCTGTTTGGGATTACAACCTGAGTACGTGAATAATGGAATCCTTGTGCATCAAATGGCATACACTGAAAGAGTACTCAAGGAGATTTAATAAGGACCAGGCCCGCCCATTGACCAGGCCCAATGGTGGTGAGAAGCCTCAGATTGGATAGTGATCCATTCAGTCCGAAAATGCCATACCTCAGTGCCATAGAAGTTCTAATGAATTTGGCTAGACACACTAGACCAAACATTTGTTTTGCCGTGAGTCTCCTGTCTAAATTTAGTTCATGATCAACCCAAAGGCGCTGGAAAGGTTTAAAGGAAGGTTTGATTAAATTTTAAAGTTTATTCTTCCTGCGTTGTTTACTTGGGTTTATTCTATACTGATCTAACCAAAGAAGATCCAGTTTGCTTTGGTTTAGTTTGATTTGCTGATGCAGGTTATTCATAAGATCAGATTATGGCATGGTCAATGAATAGGAACTACGTGTGGCTTGATCCCTTCCAAGGGTACGTAGGCAGCCTTCCTTAAGGCGCAGCTACTACTACTATTACTACTAATACTACTACTACTACTACTACTACTACATCAAAGACCATCATATTTGAAGACAACGCATCCTATATTGCTCAACTAAAGGATGGCTACACTAAGAGGGATCGAACGAAGCATATTCTGCCCAAGTTCTTCTTCACTCATGAATTACAGAAGGACGGTCAGGTCAAAGTTCAACAGATCCGGTCAAGTGAGAATTCAGCCGACCTATTCAGCAAATCATTGCCGACTTCAACGTTCTGGAAGCTCATTCATCAGATCGGGATGCGCGGACTCAAGGATCTACAGTGATGCTCAAATCAGGGGGAGTAATGCGTGTTGTACTCTTTTTCCTTCACCATGGTTTTGTCCCACTGGGTTTTCCTGGTAAGGTTTTAATGAGGCAACATTCCCCAGCGCATTATAGAGATCCCGGTTTAGTATCGGGCACGGTTATGTCTTCCAAGGGGGAGTGTTATAAACTATATGGATGGACTCCATAACCGGCCCATGGCCCATTAGGGTTTTACCTTATTCTCTGTATCCTACTATTATCCTTGTATATATATCTCCTATTGTATTAATGAAAGACACAGTTCACAACACTTAGAATATTTTTTTAGGGAAAAAATATACATTATAGTAAAAACTACTTCTATTATAAAATTCTTTTATTTTAAAGACAAAAATAAAGAAATACATTGAAACCTTAATTACTCCCCCATTCCTCTCTTTTTTGGTTCACAATTTATACGTTTCATATCTCATCTTGGCATTTATGTCATTGTGAATATCGTTCCTCATGTTCACTTTCATGTCGTTAGTTGTGTTAGTTTAGATGAGTTGTGTTAGTTTGGATAAGAATACTTACAATAATGTGTAAGTACCTAAACTTAAGGCTCAAATCGTGTCAATAACCACAAATTTATTTTACAAAGATCTCTACACCAATTTCCTAAATTCCGTGCTCTTTTTTAGGTCTCCCAATTACGACTATTAGAAAAAATAATATCATAAATAATTTAACCAAATAAATAAAACTCCATAAAAAATTAAGGATAAAACCAATTTAAACCAAAGAAATATGTAATTATCCCAAATTTGATTAGAAACCAGAGAAAAAAAAAACTTGGGATAATTACATATTTCGTAACCGTAGCCAAACCATATTTTTATTTCTCACTTTCCCCAATTAACTTGGGAGTTATAGGGTTTACGAGATCATCATGGTTCTCAAACCATGCGTAGTGGAGACGACGATAAAAGTAGATTCGAGCAAGTTTGCGATTGAAGAAGAAGGCAATCATAAAATTGAGGACCTTGATGATGATGATGATGATATCATAAAGGTGCCTGAATGGGATGTGGACAGCTTCGATGGTTTAGAGTATTATTCCTCTCCTGAGGCTCAACTTTCCTCTGATGAGCAACCTTTATCGGACGAGGAGGAGGCTCTAGATAACTATCGCATCGTTAAACGCCAGCTGATCGAGAGCAAGGTACCACCACATGTTTTGGTTTTTGAATGTGAGCTACAATTCCATGAAATTGATCAGATGGTGATTGATTATAAGAACGATACTAAGTTCTCAACAATGTCTGTGATTAGGGATTTTACGTGGAGCCAGGGAGAAGACTAATTTATCTCTTCAAAGGAATCAAACCAATGAGTTTGGACCGTAATGCGATTGGGGCAATAACCTTTCGTGAGTACTGGGAAGAGATGGTACACATATGTCTCCGAAAACACAACCAAGATAAGGCTAGTTCTCTCTTCTTCCTCTTCTTTTTGTTTTAATAAATCTGTCTTTCACCCTCCATACTTGTTGTTTGTTGTTTATATGATGAGTAGCTAAGTCTGAATGTTGTTTATTGTGGTTGAAGGTGCGTAAGGTGGAGTTGGTTGAAGTTGTGAGAGGTAATTATCGCGGTGGAGCGAGAGCCAAGTCAATAAGTCATACATTACATTTATGGCGAGGGAGAAGCCGAATGGAACTCTTGTGGAGTATCAAGCTAAATGTATGGATACTCTTGACGGAAAGAGCCACCCTATCCTCTGTAGACCGGCTCCTAAACCAAAGACTTAAATGTATCAATTGGCTTGCCTTTTACCTAGTTTTGGGTTGATTTGCCGAGACTCAAAACGTGATAAATTTTATATATATTTGTATATCATAGTTGCTTTTGGAATCTCTTGACAATATAGTCTCTCTCTCATATGTATTTGGCCATTTAGTCTCTTGCTTAGTTAATATGTACATATGACATATCACACATTTCTTGGGCAGAAGGTAATTACAGGATTTAAGTGAAGTTTTAGTTTTCACTTTCCCAATTGGCTCGGAACAGAGAGGGGTGATTGATTTTGGATTTACTCGGATCATCGAACAAAGAGTGATTGATTTGCTTTATGCAGGCGCAAAAGTGTTTAGATATTTATGTCATTGAGGCTTTTGGTTTGAAACTGTGCGTGATCATATACATGTTTCGGCCGAGCTTTTACATGTAGGGTATATGCAACAAATAAAGTGCATATGTAAATCTCCCTGTGCATGATTCTCGGAATAAATAATTGGTAACACTCTGTGTGTTACCTGGTTAAAGAAGAACTATAGATCGAGCTAGTTGATAGAATTAAAGAAAAAGATAGAGCTAGTTAATAAAATTAAGGGAAAAGATAGAGCTGTTGCACTTCTTTTTAACATCATTAGGTATTTCGCATTACAATACATTTATCAGTAGCTTGGACCAAGATCCATTTGAAGAAATCCAAAACAAAAGCAAGAAAAAAGACTATATAATCATGAAGTTAGGCAGTTAGCCATAAACAAAGCAAAAGATAATTTAGACTACATATCTGGATCTAGCTTGGGACTAGGCCTGCAAAACATAGGATAAGTCTTACATTTTAATTTCTTCACAACCTTGGCTTGATACTCCACAAGCGTATCATCATCCTCAGACTCTTTCGCCATGAAAGTGATATACGAAACCCAACTACCAGTGAAAGACCCTGTCACTCTTACAACATGATCCAATGTCACATTGGTTTCCTGAAAACACACCCAAAGGGAAAATAAAAACAATTGATATAAGGCCAATTCACACATCTTAAACCAACAAAACAATGTAAAAATTTTGCAAATAATCAAAAATTACGTTTAAGGCATTGTATTTGCAAAGACACAATTTGGCCATGTCTTGTGCATATTGAAGCTGTGTCCTTCCTTTAACCGGAGAATGTTCACTGTCCAGAGGTTCAAGTAAGATTGCGCCACTCCATACTGAACGTGGACGAATTCCTTTTTCCACCAGAAAACCCTAAACCTCCAAATAAACAAATATACATAAGTTAAATATCATTCGATTTAGAAAAAAAGACAAAACTAAATTGCGAATATGTATATACGGACATGGCTAAAGTGGAGATTTCGACGATAAAGACGTTTTTTACGCTCATCTTCTTCGTCGGTATAACAGTCTTCATCAGGTGAATAGAAATCGCTATATATATCATCGAAGTCATCCACTCCCCATTCTGGTTGATCGCTTGTTGAATCTCCGTCGTCCACTATGCTATCTACATCGTCCTCTCCGTCGCTTTCCTTATCATCGTCATCTTCTTCTTCTTCTCCGTTGCTTTCGTAGTCTTCTCCTTCTTCTTCTTCGTCGCTCTCGGCAGAGTAATCATCATCCTTTGTTTCGGAGTCGGATCTGTCCTTGTTCAGAGAGGAAGAGACGGTGGATTCGTCAGTGGTTGTCTCTATGGGCTCCGCCGCCGTGGAAGCGATTTGCGCCGTTTGGGCCTTTGTTTTGCTTGATCCCGAAGCCATGACTGAAATAAAAGAGAAACCCTAGATTTTGGCTAAGCAGAATATTTTATAGAGTTAATTGGTTGCTAATTAGTAATTTGGTTTATTTTTATATGGGCCCATGAAATTCATCACTCCTTTACATTTATTTTACTTTTATTATTTATTAAATATATCCTACGTTTCCTGGGCAGAAGGTAAAATATAGAATTTTGTTTTCACTTTCCCAATTGGCTTGAAACACAGAGAGGTTCTGTTTGGAATCTCCTGAAATCGTTTGTACTTTACTCTAATTGAAGTTGAAATGTCGAGGTCTGACATTCGTATAATATTAGGTGGTTATAATGTTTTGCTAGAGACCGCTTATAATCTATGAGTTTAAGACTCATTGCTAATATTATACGAACCTACAGGGTCCACACCTAAGCAGACTGGATCAATGTTGGGTTATAATTATAATATAATATATATGTTATATGAGATATACATATATATTTATATTTGTGTATTTATAATAAAGTGTTTATTATATAATATATATGTGATATATGATATACATATATTTGTAAACGTAAGTTGCAAAAAGAAAGAAAAGAATAATTGGGCTTTGGCCCATTAATAAACCTAAGTTTAGGTTTAACGTTTGACTATATATATTGATATATTGTCAACGTTTGTGATGGGGTTTTTGAGCAACCAAACCCTAAACATAAGAGACAAAGTGTTTGTCTAAATTTTGAGATTAGATCTCAACAGTACTAGCATACTACGTGTGATCCAGTTTGTGTGCGTGTGGATACCGGTAGAGGCACAACACTTGGGGTGCTGAAACAACCTCGAATTAATATGATTCACCTTTCCGCTGCAGAATATCCAGGTATATTCAAACCCTATGATCTAGATTTAATTCTTTATTTACACGGTTCCTGGCAATTAAATTCGTAATTAGTATTTATAAATCGTTATAAACCGGTACGAATTCCTACAGTGGTATCAGAGCCTACGTGATTAATACTGAATTTGAATCTAGTTTAATCTATATTTTGATATAGATGAATAATTGTAATTTGTTTTAGCTTGTTTAAATTTATGAAATTTAATTGGTAAAGCATAAAATAAACAAAATTATATGATTCAACTAAAACATGTTTCTGTATATTTGGATATACGTTTGTGTTAAGGTGTATGATAGATAATATGTCTCTGTACGTATTTGATTAATAGTTAATATAATAAGTATGAATGACATATGATAATTATCTGTGACTCGTTTAAACATGAATAAAATTAAAGAATTTTGATTCGTTGCACCTTTACGTGAAATTGTTTCCATTAATCATTACACATGTAGTTATTCGATTTGATCGATAATAGGTATATTTTAACCATAGTCGTTTGATGTGTACTTGATTAATTTTGTTCATATGAAAACGTTTCATTATTAATCAATTGATATATGATATCTGTTTGTTTATATTAGATTCACATATACATATAAAATCTCGTAGTTAGAATTATATATAATATATAATATGTGTATGTAGAATTATGGGTAAGTATACGATTCTTTTGATTTGGAATGGTTCCTTATGCAAAAGATCTGTTACCATAAATATATTATAAATATATTGACTCATGATTTATATCTTTTTAGAAAGAGAAAGTCAATAGTAGTATAGTATAGATTTTGATATGATCAAAAATTATACTTGTAAAATAATAATTCGCTAGATCCTAATTTGATTAGGATAAGTTCGATTATATTATGTTCTAATTTGATTAGAGCTGGTGAGATTTAATTAAGATTATTTTTAAAATAATTAATAATTTTAATTTGATTAAAATTATTGAAATTGTTTATAATTTAATTAACTACATATTGGATATGTATTAGTTATATTTTATTTATATTGGATATAAATTTTAAATATAAAATTGAGTTATAAAATTATTTCCTCAACTAATATCAAGTATTTGATGTCTTCCCAATTTTATCAACTGTTAAAACTTAAATTGTTGTATGGCGGGTCTGCCAAAGCAGCGGTCTGCAATTGTTTAAGAGTGAGACAGATGGTAACGGTTACCATATGAAATAAAATTGGTTTACTTGACTAGGCTATCAAAACGGTTTTGGGCTTAGAGACATAGGGTTGGATAAGACATAAGATGTCATCCACAACCAAGAATTATATTAGATATAATTAGCAAGGTGTTGCTTACCTAAATAACTAGATATTCAGGGGTAGAGCCAAAGCTCACTTGAATTCTAGTGAAATATGGATCTTGGATCATTGTACTCATTAGAGGAAATTTTGTTTTGAGTATAGTGTTAGTTTTCTTAATTGTTGAGAATTCTAAAATTCATGAACATCATATTAATTTCTGCTTTTCTTTTTCGACAGTTATGTTAAACCCTCAAAGTTCCTATTCATTTCGAGATGTTCTTGAGAAGGACAAATTGAATGGATCAAACCCTCTTGACAACTTGGAAGATCTGGAGAAGAAGAAAACATTCAAGGTCTCTTCTTCGGGTATCTATGTTATAGAAGTAAATGTTACTACTTCTGGTTCTACTCCTTGGGTATTGGATACCGGTTGTGGTGCTCACATTTGTGTAAATGTGCATGGCCTAAACAACAGTAGAACTTTGGAGGAAGGACAAGTGGACCTACGTGTGGCTAATGGAGCAAAAGTTTCTGCATTAGCCGTGGGAACATATTCGTTGTCTTTACCTTCAGGCATGGTTTTGGAGCTTAAGAACTGCTACTATGTTCCTGCTATAAACAAGAATATCATCTCTGTTTCATGTTTGGACATGGAAGGTTTTCACTTTTCGATCAAGAACAAATGTTGTTCATTTGATCGAGATGATATGTTTTATGGTAGCGCTCCATTAGAGAATGGGCTTTATGTTCTAAACCAAAGCATGCCAGTCTATAACATTCGTACCAAGAGATTTAAGTCTAATGACTTGAATCCAACTTTTCTCTGGCATTGTCGTTTGGGCCATATAAACGAGAAACGAATTCAAAAACTTCATAGTGATGGACTTTTGAACTCATTTGATTATGAATCTTATGAGACTTGTGAATCTTGTTTGTTGGGAAAGATGACTAAGGCCCCATTTACTGGGCACAGTGAGAGGGCTAGTGACTTATTGGGCCTTATACATACAGATGTATGTGGGCTAATGAGTACAAGCGCCAGAGGAAACTATCAGTACTTCATTACATTTACTGATGACTTCAGTAGATATGGTTATGTTTATCTAATGAAACATAAGTCGGAATCTTTTGAAAAGTTCAAGGAGTTCCAGAATGAAGTACAAAATCAACTTGGCAAATCAATAAAAGCTCTTCGATCAGATCGTGGAGGAGAATATTTGAGCCAAGCTTTCATTGATCATCTCAGAGAGTGTGGAATTGTTTCACAGCTCACTCCTCCAGGAACACCATAGTGGAATGGTGTGTCCGAAAGGAGAAATCGAACTTTATTGGATATGGTTCGATCGATGATGAGTCACACTGATCTTCCAATATCCTTTTGGGGATATGCTCTAGAGACGTCTGCGTTTATGCTAAACAGATGTCCGACAAAATCAGTTGAAAAGACACCATATGAGATATGGACTGGAAAGGTTCCTAATTTATCTTTTCTCAAAATTTGGGGTTGTGAAGCTTATGTCAAACGGTTGATTACTGATAAGCTTGGACCCAAATCTGATAAATGCTACTTCGTAGGTTATCCTAAAGAGACCAAAAGTTATTACTTCTACCATCCTACTGACAACAAAGTGTTTGTTGCTCGAAATGGTGCCTTTTTGGAAATGGAGTTTCTTTCAAAAGGAACTAGTGGGAGTAAAGTGTTACTCGAAGAAGTTCGAGAACCACATGAGAATGTTCCAACTTCTCAGGAAGAACATCAGTTGGATCTACGAAGAGTCGTAGAACCTATACCTGTGGAACCTGAGGTACGTAGGTCCGAAAGGAACCGTCACGAACCCGATAGATTTGGAGATTGGGTGACGGATGATCATGATCTATTGATTATAGAGAGTGATGAACCTACGTCATACGAAGAAGCATTGATGGGCCCCGATTCCGTTAAGTGGTTAGAGGCCGCGAAATCCGAGATGGAATCCATGTCACAAAACAAAGTATGGACTTTGGTTGATTTACCTGATGGTGTAAAAGCCATTGAGTGTAAATGGATTTTCAAGAAGAAAATTGACATGGATGGTAATATACAGATATACAAAGCTAGACTGGTGGCGAAAGGTTACAAGCAAATTCATGGTATTGACTATGATGAAACCTATTCACCAGTTGCAATGCTTAAGTCCATTCGGATTCTTCTAGCAACTGCTGCTCATTATGATTATGAGATTTGGCAAATGGATGTGAAAACAGCTTTCCTTAATGGAAATCTTGAAGAAGATGTGTACATGACACAGCCTGAAGGTTTCACTGTTCCTGAAGCTGCTAGGAAGGTATTCAAGCTTCATCGTTCCATTTATGGATTGAAGCAAGCATCTCGGAGTTGGAATCTTCGTTTTAATGAGGCAATCAAAGAGTTTGATTTCATTAGAAACGAAGAAGAACCTTGTGTTTACAAGAAGACTAGTGGGAGCGCAGTCGCATTTCTGGTATTGTATGTAGATGACATACTGCTTCTTGGAAATGACATTCCCTTGCTCCAGTCTGTTAAGACTTGGCTTGGAAGTTGTTTCTCGATGAAAGACTTGGGAGAAGCTGCCTATATTCTTGGAATAAGGATCTATAGAGATAGATTGAACAAAATAATTGGACTAAGTCAAGATACTTATATAGATAAGGTCTTGCATAGGTTTAATATGCATGATTCTAAGAAAGGCTTTATACCAATGTCTCATGGCATAACTCTTAGCAAGACTCAGTGTCCTTCGACACAAGATGAGCGAGAGCGGATGAGTAAGATTCCATATGCTTCTGCTATAGGATCTATCATGTATGCTATGCTCTGCACTCGCCCAGATGTTGTTTGTGCTTTGAGCATGACGAGCAGATACCAGTCTGATCCAGGTGAAAGTCACTGGATAGTAGTCAAGAACATCCTTAAGTACTTGAGAAGAACTAAGGATAAGTTTTTGGTTTATGGAGGAAGTGAGGAACTTGTTGTGAGTGGTTATACCGATGCCAGCTTTCAGACAGACAAAGATGATTTTCGATCTCAATCAGGATTTGTCTTTTGTCTCAACGGAGGAGCAGTGAGCTGGAAGAGTTCCAAACAGAGCACTGTGGCAGATTCTACAACTGAGGCTGAGTATATAGCTGCTTCTGAAGCGGCTAAGGAGGCTGTTTGGATTAGGAAGTTCATTACTGAACTTGGTGTGGTTCCTAGTATTTCTGGCCCCATCGATCTTTACTGTGATAACAATGGAGCCATCGCTCAAGCGAAAGAACCTAGATCACACCAGAAATCCAAACACATACAAAGGCGATATCACCTCATTCGTGAGATTATTGATAGAGGTGATGTGAAGATTAGCAGAGTTCCAACAGATGCAAATGTTGCTGATCCGTTTACTAAACCTCTTCCACAGCCTAAGCATGAGAGTCATACTGCTGCGATTGGCATTAGATTTATAAAGATGTGATCTTATTTCTAGTGGGAGGTTTTTATTTATTTATTTATGATATGATGTTCATGTTAAAATACATTTGAATTTATTTTCAAATTAATGAAATTTGTTTCAGTATTATTTATTTATTGGATAATTAAATAATAGTTCCAAAATAATTTATATCATTCTTATAGACCATCAAGTACGTGACTTGATCATGAAACCCTATAAGTGGAAAATGACATAAATTATAGAAGTCCCTAGCCAAGGTTATTAAAATGGGACATTAATAACTAAGAATGGCTAGTATGTGAGGTGACTGATGACTACGTTTCATGGAGTCATTAATATGTGGTATTAAAGTCAATCACATAGATATGTGTTAGAGAACACAGTATTGGACTGACCCGTTATGAAAACTCTACAAGATTGTTATATGAGTGTCATAAGAGTTTTTCATCACAACTATAGAGTATAGTCCTTTGACCTGAGTTCGTCATGATTTCTCATTCATGGATTAGTTCGCTTTGACTCTGTCAAACGTCAGCCGTAAAAGGTGATTATAAAGACAGTGATTGGGCGGGTTATGAATTGTTTAAGGAACAGGGATGGAACAAGATGGGATTTGTCCCTCCCATATAACGGGAGATAAATATCTCTGGGCCTATCGAAGATTTGATACTGAGAAATGCGTGGCCGCGCTCAAACGAGGTGAATGTCAGTCGTTTGTTTTTATCAGTATAAATCGGAGTTCGATAAACATGGTCTAGCTTAATAAGGATGATAATTTGTTGCCTTATGCTGAGATCGAGATATAGAGACGAAGGGATTATGGGAATAGAAGATTCCAGTACAAGTGGGAGATTATTGGGAATGTCCTGAAATCGTTTGTACTTTACTCTAATTGAAGTTGAAATGTCGAGGTATGACATTCGTATAATATTAGGTGGTTATAATGTTTTGCTAGAGACCGCTTATAATCTATGAGTTTAAGACTCATTGCTAATATTATACGAACCTACAGGGTCACACACCTAAGCAGACTGGATCAATGTTGGGTTATAATTATAATATAATATATATGTTATATGAGATATACATATATATTTATATTTGTGTATTTATAATAAAGTGTTTATTATATAATATATATGTGATATATGATATACATATATTTGTAAACGTAAGTTGCAAAAAGAAAGAAAAGAATAATTGGGCTTTGGCCCATTAATAAACCTAAGTTTAGGTTTAACGTTTGACTATATATATTGATATATTGTCAACGTTTGTGATGGGGTTTTTGAGCAACCAAACCCTAAACATAAGAGACAAAGTGTTTGTCTAAATTTTGAGATTAGATCTCAACAGTACTAGCATACTACGTGTGATCCAGTTTGTGTGCGTGTGGATACCGGTAGAGGCACAACACTTGGGGTGCTGAAACAACCTCGAATTAATATGATTCACCTTTCCGCTGCAGAATATCCAGGTATATTCAAACCCTATGATCTAGATTTAATTCTTTATTTACACGGTTCCTGGCAATTAAATTCGTAATTAGTATTTATAAATCGTTATAAACCGGTACGAATTCCTACAGGTTCTAGGACTCACTAGATCATAGATCATCATCGATCATCATGGTTCTCAAACCGAGAAAACGATAGGGGGAGAATCGAGCAAGTTAGAGGAAGCAAAGATGGAATCCATGGAAGCATCATCGATGGTTCTCAAACCATGCGTAGCGACGAAAGAAAGAGATTCGAGCGAGTTTAAGGAGGCGGCAGAACCCATGGATGATGTTTCTTCGGTCGTTGTCAATTCTTACCTGACAAAGCGTAAGGCTGAGTTCGACCTGGAGGAGGAGGAACAGAACGTTGGTGAGAATGAAGAAGGCAGTGATGAGGAATCCAAAATGGATGAGCCTGAGGCTATATTTGATATGTTAATGATGTGGACAGCTTCGAAGGTTTGGAGTATTATTCATCTTCGGATTTGGAACTTTCCTCTGATGAGCAGCCTTATTCCGACATGGAAAAGGCTAATAAACACTATCACATCTACAAACGCCAGATCATCGAGAGCAAGGTAGGTAAACCCACTCTGTGTAGCTTTGATTGTGAACTAGATTTTTGGAATCGAGTGGAATAGATGATGAATTCAACATGTGTGATTAGGGATTTTACGCGGAGCGAGAGTTTAGCCTAGGTTATAACTACAAGAGAATCTTCCCAATGAGTTTGGAGAAGGAAGCGCTTCATGGTAAAACCTTTCGTGAGTTCTGGGAAGAGATGGTCTATGTTTGTCTCCAAAAACACAACCAAGTCAAGGTTAGTTCTCTCTCTCTCTTCTTGTTGGGTTTGTTAATTTATTGTTGTTCAAGGAGTGTAATGTGGAGTTCGTTGAAGTTGTGAGGGGGTAATTGTCACGGAGGACCGAGAGCAAAGTCATACATTACATTTATGGCGAGGGAAAAGCCGGATGGACCTCTTGTGGAGTATCAAGCCAAGTCTATGCTTACTTTGGACGGCAAGATACATCCCATCCTCTGTAGACCGTCTCCTATATGCCAAAGCCTTAAAACCAATGCTATTTAAAGCAGGGGCGGACGTACGTGTATTAGTACCTAGGCACGTGTCCTATACAAAATTTGATAATTTTGAACTTTGTTATATATACTTTGAAGAAAAGATGGAATAATTGGTGTATCGTGCCACATACAATATAATATTCCTCTACTAATTTTTTAGTCAATTAGCTACTATTTTCTTTCTTTTTACTGATTTCAGGTAATAAATGCTTTCCATATATTTTAATCTATTTTTTTCTCTAACCTTTTTTTAATTGTTTAAAGGAATAATGTTTATATAGAGTAGTAGAATCAATGGTTGATCAACAATTGAACACATCAAATGAATTTGCTTCATTTACATGTCTTTTAATCAATAAATATAATATTTTAGATTAAAAATTTATATTTTAAATATATTGTGCCCCATACTATATATGTTTCTAGATCCGCCACTGATTTAAGGTATGACTTTCTCTTAGCCAATCATGGATTTGATCTCTCAAGGCGCAAAACATGTGTAGAAATATGTCATAGTTGGTTTTGGCTTGAAGCTTTGCATGATATGGTATTTATATATTACAAATTTTGTTTGGCCAGTCAAGTCTCTTGTTTGCCAGAATTATGAGGAAAATCTTTTTAATAGCTTCACGTGGAGGGTATAATCAACAAATAAAGTCTTTATTATATAAATTTGTAAATCTCCCTTTGCATGATTTCAGAATAACAAGTCGGTAAATCTTTGTGTGTCGATAAACAAACTCTCTTGTGGGATATATTTTTCGCTACACAAAGAGCTTTTAATTTCTGTTGTTCAATTTAAATTAGGAGTTCAGAAAATATAAATAGTTAAATTCACTAACTCACATCTTTGTGAAGTCCATCACTATTGATATACTTGATAGTTGATAGGAATATTCATGTTTCTGAACAAAAACTTCTTCTTTCCAGTTTTGTTTTTGATATAATGTGTTCCATCTTGGTAGGATAAATCTCGACATTCGGCAATGAGTTTATCTTTGTTGTAAGAAGCCTGTAAAAGGCGGGTGAAGACCACTGAACCGCATGTGTCTACATGCAATTGTAAATAAAGTTAGTTTTGGGTTAATTGTAAAATTAAATACCAACTATAGTGTAAAAAATAGTTAAATTTATCTTCGAGTTGATCAATAGGATCATCTAAAAGCCCTGAAGTTGTCCAATCCCTGCTAATACGGCTGCCATCACCAAATAGCTACACATAAACATAATATGTAAAAGTTAGTGGTCTAAAAGGTGCAGTTTCCAATTCTGAATCAAGCAAGACAACATAAATAAGAGGAAGAATGTACTGGTATTTTGCTTCCTGGTTGGACTTGTTGGGCTTGATTTTGCTGGGAATTCATAAGTTAGTTTCAAACTAATTAAGATGCGAGACATCAATAAGACTAATCGGAGTTAAGAGTGATCTTGAATATTTCTGCACTTGGTCTGCACTTGGACGGGACTAGTCAATGTTGAATTTGCATGATCATGGGTAAAAATAGTACAAGCATTCTGTCATATCACATATTTTAATTATAATTTTAAAGGAAAAGGAAAGTTTTGAAAATTAAAATATTATTGATAAATGGGCGAGGCCTTTTTTTTTTGTTGGCCAATTATTTCTTTTCTAAACCGTAATTTTACTTCATCCACTAATTTTTCTTATGAAGTAAAAAATTCACAAAAGTCCCTAAATATTTTGAAGATATTCATAGTCTTTGGATGTCTCCATGGTCTTTCGCCTCGCCCTTGATTCATTTATTTGTTTATACATTAGGCCTGAGACAGGGCACTTTCAAGTTTTGATCACAGTCGAAGCTTTTTCATATTTTATTGATAAATCTTACGTATGTCTAAACACTCTCAAACTAGTATTTAGTGCTTGGACAAACATTCATAAGAAGCAAAAAACGACCATGTAACCATCTAATTATTTAGCGTTATATCCAAAAATTAAAAAGATAATTTAGACTACATATCTAGATCTAGCTTGGGACTAGGCCTGCAAAACATAGGATAAGTCTTGCGTTTTATATTCTTGGTAACCTTGGCTTGATACTCCACAAGCGTATCATCCTCCTCAGATTCTTTCGCCATGAAAGTGATATACGAAGTAAACCTACCCCTAAAACACCCTGTCACTCTTACAACATGATCCAATTTCACATTGGTTTCCTGAAAACACACCCCAAAAGAAAAAACAATTGTTGTATGTATAGACAATATAATTAATTAAAACATCTTAAAACAACGTTAAAATTTCAATAGTTTAACTTACGTTAAAGGCATTGTACTTGCGAAGGGACAATTTGGCCATGTCTTGTGCGTATTGAAGCTGTGTCCTTCCTTTAACCGGAGAATGTTCACTGTCCAGAGATTCAAGATAGGTAGAGCCACCCCCTACGGAACGTGGACGTGGACGTGGACCAAGCCCTTCTTCCACAAGAAACCCTAAATCTCCAAAATCAATTTCACCATAAATTAAATATCATTTGATTTAGAAAATACAAAAAAAAAAAAAAAAAAAAAAAACTAAATTTCGAATCATGTATACGAACATGGCTAAAGTGGAGATTCCGTTTATAAAGACGGGATTTTCGCTCAACTTCTTCGTCGCTATGAGTGTCTTCATCAGGTGAAATATATTCCTTATCGTCGAAGCTATCCACTCCCCATTCCGATTGATCGCTTGCTGAATCTCCGTCGTCCACTATGCTATCTTCGTCATTGGAAGAATCATTTTCCTTCGGGTCGGAGTCGGATTTGTCCTTGTTCAGAGAGGAAGAGACGGCGGATTCTTCAGTGGTTGTTTCTATGGGCGTCGTGGAAACGATTTGCGTCGACTCGGTCTCTGTCTTGCTTGATCCCGAAGCCATGATTGAAATAAAAGAGAAACCCTAGATTTTTTACCTTAGCAGAATATTTTACGACTTAACTGGTTGATGTTTAATTATTTGGGTTATTTTTAGATATGTGGGCTTCGAAGTTCACTTTTTTATTTTTATTTTACTTTTTACAGTTTTATCATAAAAACATTATTTGATTGTTCAGGCAAAAATCCTAATACAAGTAGGAGTCTCGTCGTCCACGGATATTTGATTGTTTCATGCTTCAACTCATAAGTGACAACCTGTACGTTTTACATTCCCTCAAAAGTCAAAACCGATTCCAAATTCAGGCAGTTCAACTAATTAATGATTGGATTTTTTTTAGAGTGAAAATAAAATTTCTCATATGTATTAAAAAGATTAATTATAAATGGCCATTTTCTTTGTTAAGGACTATCTTATATAGATGACAAAAAAAAAAAAAAGACTATCTTATATATAAAGTTCACGAAACTCTCTAAATAGTTCGAAGTTGTTACTAGTCTTTTCGCCTCCGTCTTGATTGGTTCAGACTCCATGATCCGACGGAAATCCCCATACATATATCCGCCTTGAAGTCTAAACTATTTACAATTTTAACGATAAAGAAATTATGAGAATTATCCCACACTGGAAAGATGAGAATGGACTTGAGTAATGTAGAAGAGGACATGAGACTTTCTACTCATTGCAATTGGTTTGAGTTAGAAAGCCATAAAACTTAATAATGTATATTCACTTGTTTATATTTATAATTTGGCCTCAGGGCACTTTCAAGTTTTGATCATCATGAAAACCTTTTATTAATGATAAATCTTAGGTATGTGTAAACACTCTAAAACTACTATTAATGATAAATCTTAGGTATGTGTACAGACATTTATTAGAAGAAGCGGAAAGCAAGAAACGACCATGTAACCATCGAATTATTTAGCGTTATATCCAAAAATTAGAAGATAATTTAGACTACATATCTGGATCTAGCTTTGGACTAGGCCTGCAAAACATAGGATAAGTCTTGCATTGAAATTTTTTAGCAACCTTGGTTTGATACTCCACAAGCGTATCATCTCCCTTAGATTCTTTCGCCATGAAAGTGATATACGAAGTCTGCCTAACGCCAAAAGACGCTGTTACTCTTACAACATGATCCAATTTCACATTGGTTTCCTGAAAACACACTCCAAAAAAAAAAAATTGATGTATAGCCAATTAACACATCTTGAAACAACGTTAAAATTGCAATAGTTAAACTTACGTTTAAGGTATTGTACTTGCGAAGAGACAATTTGGCCATGTGTTGTGCGTATTGAAGCTGTGTCCTACCTTTAGCCGGAGAATGTTCACTGTCCAGAGATTTAAGTAAGATATAGCCACAACCTACGGAACGTGAACGTGGACGTGGACCAATCCCTTCTTCAACAAGAAAGCCCTAAATCTCCAAAACCAAATTTCACCATAAAATTAAATATCATTTGATTTAGAAAAAAAACAACTAAATTTTGAATCGTGTATACGAACATGGCTAAAGTGGAGATTCCGTTTATAAAGACGGGCTTTTCCCTCAACTTCTTCGTCGGTATGAGAGTCTTCATCAGGTGAACAATATTCCTCATCATCGAAGCTATCCACTCCCCATTCCGATTGATCGCTTGCTGAATCTCCGTCGTCCACTATGCTATCTTCGTCATTGGAGGAATCATTTTCCTTCGGGTCGGAGTCGGATTTGTCCTTGTCCAGAGAGTAAGAGACGGCGGATTCTTCAGTGGTCGTCTCTATGGGCTCCGCCGCCGCGGAAACGATATGCGCCGTCTCGGCCTCTGTCTTGCTTGGTCCCGAAGCCATGATTGACATAAAAAGAGAAACCCTAGATTTTACCAGAATTATAGATATGTGGGCCCTTGGAAGTTCACTTCTTTATTTTTATTTTACTTTTACAGTTTTATCAGAAAAAAAAACATTATTTGATCGTTTTGGCAAAAAACCTTATGAGGAGGAACCACGGAGATATGAAGAAGTAATCATAATTCTCAAAAGTTCAAAACCCTTACCAAAAAAAAAAAAAATCATAATTCTCAAAACATCCTTTACCACTTTTTTTTTTTTTTGGATTTTTACTAATAAAAATCTTATTATATAAAGTATGGTTTTCAAAGTTAATAACTCATAGGATCGTGACACATGTCAAATCTACCGATCTTAGATTTTGACATGTGTAAAACAAAAATTTCCTTTTTTTTTAAAAAAAAAAAGATAATTGTACATAATTATAAATTTAAATAATTTTAAAAATGTAAAAAATATTTATAAAAAAAGCTAATTATAAAAAAATTGTAAATTTAAAAAGTTTTAAAATGTAAAAAGATAACTATAAGGAAATTATACCTATATTTCCATAAGAAATTTTGCCATATAGTAAACAAAAGTTTTGTTTTTAACAACTTAAAAATATAATTTGTATATAAGAAAATAATATGTATATTTTCCACAAAAAGATGAAATTATAAAATAGGGCTTTTGCAAAAATGCCCATTTTTCAATGCCACTTTTCAAAAATGCCCATTCTTTAAAACCTTATAAAAAATGCTCTTAAAAATATAAGATTTACCCAAATATGTATGTAACATTATTAAAACATACACAAACTACATTTCTATGTATCTAAAATCTTATAAATACTTTATAAATACCTTATAAATGCATTTTAAATACCTTTAAAAACTTTTAAAATATCTTGTAAAACCTTTGAAAAACCCTTAAAAATCCTTTAAAATAACTTGTAAAACCTTTAAAAACACCTTATAAAACCTTATAAATACTTGGATCGAGTCTTCAAGTAGTAGTTATAATCCATAAGTACCTTATAAACCTAATAAAACTTTATAAAATTTTCAGATTTAAAAAGGGGCATTTTAGAAAATGGACATCGAAAATGGACATTTTTTAAAAGAGGCACACCAAAAGGAGCATTTTTGAAAAGAGGCACACCAAAAGGGGCATGTTCGTACCTTACCGCATCTTTCTACTTATGTAAACAATATTCCTACACATTGGCTAATTTGAGCCAATCTAATAAATCTGTTGACAAAAAAAAAAAAAAAAAACAATTTCCCTTATAAAATTATGCTAAAATTTTTATTTATAAGTTACTAACTGTACAATATAAAGATTTATATATAGAAAAAGATTAAAAAAATTATACAATCATTTATTAGTCGTATAAGAAAAAGGATAAACAAATAGATTGTTTCATATTTTTCACCAAAGAAACTTATTTCTTCAGAAACACCACCATTGCTTTAACTTTTCTATTGGTAAAACTTTTTTTTTTTCTGTCATAAATTATTTTTAGGATAATATCAGTAACTAACATTTGACTCAAAAATAATTAAAGCAATAAACATGAGTGAAAAGCTTTGGAAACTAACATATTCAGAGATGTGAAATTTAAAAATGGCTCTCAACCAAAAGACAAACATACGAAAACATATTGTAATTTGGAGAAAAAAACATGAAATAAATACTAATAAAACGCAATCTAAAAATAAAGATTATCAATACTGGAATTTTGAGACGAAAGAGAGACATCTAACGAGAATTTAATAAAATAACATGTCATACTAGAAAAATAAAAGTAGTATGTGATTGTTATGGAGGTGACGATGGTGGTGGTTGATGGTTACGGAAGTGCTGATAGGGTAATTTTAAAAAAAATAACATGAATCATGTAAAAATTATATGCATTCATCATTTGTTGAAAATATACCATGTCATTTATAAAAAAAAAACACTTTGAATCATAATGGTTTTCTAAAAATAGCATGTGATATTCAGATCCAAGAAATATATGACAGTGGAGAAAAATTAAGAATTATGAACGGCGATGGACATAGACTAGAGTTGTTGTCGCAAAGGCTCGGCCCGATGTCGAAGGAGCTAAAGAAGGTGGAGAAATAAGTGCAGTTGGAGAAAGAGGACTAGAGGCGGTAACCGTGGTATTGGTGTTGATGACGGTGGTTCAAGCATGGTGGTGTTGGCGGTAAATATTGACTAAGGTGGTGGGTCAAAATTAGCGAGATTTGGTATTGATGGTGGTGGTGATTGTGATAGTAATGAGGTCCAGTTGTGGTGGTGGATCGAAGTAGTGAAACTCGGTGGTGATGCCCGACGAAGGAGAGAAATGGAGATAGAGAAAAAGAAAAAAGATTTGGTACTGAAGAATCCGACAAGAGTGAGAGAAGGAGAAACATAAGATCGAGCAAAAATAAGAGAATCTATTAAGAGAAAGAGAGAGATTTGAGACTTTCTCGCCGGCGAGAGGAAGAAAAAAAGAGAAAACGAAAAATAAATGGGTAATATGGGGCAAAAATTAACAAAAGCCATGTAGCAAATAGACATTGTTTAGTCAAATGTTAATTTTTTATTTTTGTTTTAGTCTTAAGTTATTTAGTGTCATATTTTTGTTTCTAAATTGCCCACATTGAAATTATAAAGTGTAACACTCTTCCGATGGATGTAAATAATTTACTAAAATGAAGAAAATAATAATAATAATAATTTATTAAAATTTAATGATACAACATATAAACATTTGGAAAATTGTTAAAAATGCCCCTTTTGGTGTGCCCCTTTTTAAAAATGCCCTTTTTAGATGTCCATTTTCAAAAATGCCCCTTTTTAAATCTGAAATTTTTATAAAGTTTTATTAGGTTTATAAGGTACTTATGGATTGTAACTACTACTTGAAGACTCGATCCAAGTATTTATAAGGTTTTATAAAGTGTTTTTAAAGGTTTTACAAGTTATTTTTAAGGATTTTAAAAGTTTTTCAAAGGTTTTACAAGATATTTTAAAAGTTTTTAAAGGTATTTAAAATGCATTTATAAGGTATTTATAAAGTATTTATAAGATTTTAGATACACAGAAATGTAGTTTGTGTGTGTTTTAATAATGTTATATACATATTTGGGTAAATCTTATATTTTAAAGAGCATTTTTTATAAAGTTTTAAAGAAGGGGCATTTTTGAAAAGTGACATTGAAAAAGGGGCATTTTTGCAAAAGCCCCTAAACATTTTATGAATATCATAACTTACAATAAACAAAAAATTATATAATTTATAAATAGGTCAATATTTATATCAGAAAATTTAATAATTAGTGTAACATATATAACTACAAATAGTATTTTATATTGTGCATTATGCATAATAAATTTCTATTTAAAAATAACTAAAATGCTGTATTTTCTAAAATTTAAACATATATGTTTATACAATTTTAGTTAAGCTTAAAAAATAAAATAAAAAAAATAAGAATGATAGTTTCGACCGGCAACCCGTGCAACGCACAGATCCATATCTAGTTACATATAAAGTTACATTAAAAAGATCAAAGTCAATCTCAATAAACATTACAAAAGGGTCAAAGAAACTTGTGCTCATATGTTTTCATTACAAACAGTACTACAGAGTGCTAAGCACACGAGAAGCCAAAAAAATCATACTAAAACTCAATCGTTTTATATTAAATCTTCACCCAAAAGAAGAAAAATGTAGTCACCTTCTAGATTCTATTTGATCTCTCCATATAGAATCAAGATTCACACTAAAAGTATAAATATGAAAATAACCTTTTAACGATCCTTTTTCTTTTATGTGTCAGAAGTGGAGCACTCCGGTTTGCTGAGTTCATCACCCAACATGTGATGAAGAAGTGTATCAACTCTCTGACTCCTAGACTTTGTCCTTTAACAATTCAACAACAAAACAAAGCTTCAGATTTTCAGTCTACTGTAAAATTAGAAAACTAAAGATTTGATCTCTCTCACTCTCTACTTACCCTGCAGATCGACGTCGGTTTCTTCTTTCTTGAGAATCCTGCAACGAAAAATCATAAAATGAAAACAAACGGTTTAAACCTGAATCAATGGTTTTTACTTTTGCATTCTCCAGACCATCCGTTCCTTTCTGTGTAGTAATTTTATGGCGAATCAAAGACGATAACTAACCTCCCCTTGACAATTTTCTTCTTCCTCAAGATCCAGCTCAGCAAAGAACGCCTCCAAGACAAAAGCAACAACCTGAAACAAACACGTATAGTTAGTCAATCCAAGAAGCAAATAGAATTTCTTTACAACAATCAGGGCCTCTGTTTGGTCGAGCTCTTAGGAGTTGGTGTCAGTCAAACTCACCAAATTCAACAGAAGTAAAATAGTGATGACGTAGAAACTGACGAAATACGTAATGCTCCACCATGTCCCCGTCAAATCTTTGTAGCTCTGAAGGAAACAACATTGAGTAAAACTATTGCACCATAGTGGAAGCTGTTTATAGTCACACCTAGCATTGGCCTCCTCAGCTCCAATGAATCTTGCGATACTTCTTGTTGGAAACTATAATGAGTCTAAAATTGGGACTAACAGAAGAGTGAAATTACCTCCATCCATACTTGCCAGTTACCCATAACTAGCAGATTGAAGAGTGTGACCATTCCATTGGGGTAGTCATTGAAGTTGAACAATAGATAGCTGAGTTTTTTCAGTCAAGAAACGATCATTTCTGAAAACGTTTCTGTCCCAACAATAAAAACTCACTAGCAATCACAGGAACAGAACAGGTTTACTAAGTAAGACTGTGTTGAGTGCATTAAAAGGTTTTCATAAAGTCAAAAAGGATACTCATCCTCAGCCAATTCTGTTTTGAAGAGCTGCTTATTCCCAGCATTCACAAGCCCACCAAAGATCTATATATAAATGAAATGGAAAAAGTCTTATTTCTGGTATGGGAATAGAAACCGAGAGAAGGCAAGGAAAACACATGAGAGTGTCTGTTCAGTGGTTCCTACAACATTCAGATTAACTGGAAGATGAAGCATTTCAAGAGGCTTAGTATAAGCAAAAACGAAGAGAAGGACCAAGGCTTAGACATAAGTAAGCTTGCATTTTTCAGAAAAAACTCAGTAGTCTGATATACCTGTACGCCAATAGAGCAGTAGATACACAGCACGCAGAAAATGGTCCCTAAATATGGCATCAAACTTGGAATAAGAGTTATGAACGTTGCAATAAATGCTCGGTATCGCTGGACGTGCAGAA